CACCCATCAGTCCCTTTCCACAGGGAGGGGTCCAGCCGTTCTGCCAGGAGCTGGGCATCAAGAGACGCGGGTCCCGTGTTGGGGTGGGGTCCCAGGCCCAGGCTCTCAGAGATTTCTAGAACCTCAACCACCGATGGCCCGATTCCTCCTGCAACCTGAACCTTGACCCCCCTGCCAAAGTGAGGCTCCGCCTGGCTGGGGTCACAAGCTCACGCCTTGGGGTTGGGCGGGCACCTTGAGGTGCGGGTGGGCGGGCAGCAGAACACCCCCAGAGCCCTCCGGGGCCTTCATTTCAACACTGAGCCAAGAAAGCACATCGCAGCCCCCGCCTGTGGCCCCCGGCCTGTGGCCACGAGGACGGGGTCAGTCCTGCCTCCCCCCTCCACCCACTCACCCTTCCTCCAGCCCCCGTGCCCCTGGCTGTCCCTGTCCTTTCCTGCTGCGCGGCCACCTGCTCTGAGAAGCTCTGCTCCAGGCAAGACCCTCCTTCCCAGGGGCCCTCTCCCTGTCCCGCCCTCAGGGTCTCCTGGCCCAGGCTCCTGCCACCCCTTGCCCGTGGGCCCCCGGCGTGGCGTCCTGTTAAGGGTGACCGTCCCCCCACCCTAGTCCATCGGCCCCAGGAAAGCTCCCTTCACAGGTTCACCTCTGACCCAGGTCCTGGATCTGCCCCCCGAGCCCTGGGAGCCTTGTCCGCCCCAAGGCCCCCCGGTGTCGGTGGTCTGGGATTGAAGCCCCCCAGCTTCCCGTCCCCACACCAAGGGCTGCCGAATGCTCTCATGGTACATCAGGCAGCCACAGAGCTAAAGAGGACCTGGGTGCCCCCCGACACACCTCAGGCGGGTTCTGTGCACCACAGACACTGAGACTCGGTGTGGAGAACATTAAAGCAGAAGCTCCCCAAAAAGCAATGATAACAGCCGCACTGACAAATTGCTTTGTATATGTCAAGTGCTGTCCAATCCTCACATCAGCTCCGAGAGGAAATGCTCTGTTCTTCTTATTTTACTCAGGGAAAGCTGCAGCCCAGAGAGGTCAAGAGACTTGGCCAGGGTCACACAGCTGTTAAGCACTGGAAGGTAACTGCTTCTAGTTCAAGGTGGACCTAGGAATCTAATACATGCGCAGTGTACTAGACTCTGCTTACCTGCGCCCAGGTGCCGCTAAGCCTTGATTGACTGAACTGCCCGTGTCTGGAGACCAAAGCCTCTTGGCCTCCCCTAGTCTCTGTGCCCCATCCACCCCAGGGACTCTACCTTCACCCCTCAGCCTGATCTGCTCCTCCTGCCCAGGCTTCTCCCGGGTTTGCTCTGCGGTGGGGACTGAAAGTCACGTTGGATTAAGACCCGCTGTGGCTGTCACCCGCGGGAGAGAGGGCGCCTTTCAGGAGGCGGGAAGGGCCGGGATCTAGTGGAGATTTGCTAATAAGATCCAGGTTGGTGAGCCCCGCATCCTATTAACACCAGGAGCGCGGCCGCCTGTCCGTCCGCCGGAAAATTGCAAACACAATAGAAAAGTCGCTGATGAATATTAATGGGACTGGAACCGATGTCAAGAGAAACTGTTGATGTGATTGGGAGCTGGGGGGTGGGGCCTCCCTCCTGTTCCACCCCAGCTGCCCGGAAGGGGAGTCCGTGGGGTCGTCCCAGGGAATGGGATGGACACAGCAGCCTGAAAGGGAGCCATGGGCCGGCGCAGGGCCGGGACCCCTCCCCAGATCCACAGGGGCCCGTCCAAGGTCAGCCTGGGACCCTGTGTCTGAGGAGGAACGTGGGCCCCTCCCCTCATCTGCTGCAAGCTGAGCCTCTCTCCTGAACCGGAGGATCCCAGCATGGGAGGCCATGGGCTCCGGGTTCACAGTCATCAAAGGGAACTCTCCCAACAGCTGGGACCTGTCCAGAGGACCTGCAGTGAGCTCTGCTAGCGCCCGCCACCTTCCCAAACCTCCAGAGGTGCTGAGAGGCGACCCAGGGAACTTAGCGGCCAGTGGAGGCTAGGCTTGGGCAGAGGCCGAGGAGGCTAGGCGCTGAGATAGAATCCAGTGAGCCCCTGCCCCTGCCCCGCCAGTCATTTGGATTTGTCACCCCCAGCGGAGGCCCTCCAGCTGCCGTCCGGCAGGGCCACACAGGGGGGTGTTGACTCATGTGGTCAGTGGCCTCTGGTGCCGCCGCGGGTTACAGGCAGAAGCTGGGGAAAGGGCATTGATGTGGCTGAGCCCTGGGAGGGACACGCTGGCGCTGTCCCCACCTGCCGTTACAGCCCCTGATCCAGGCTGCGGGCCTCCTGAAGCCTCTGCCTGGCCCTGGTCTCTGGGTCAGTTCCAGCCTCTGCTGCCCTCAGACCCAGCGGCTCTAGCCAGGTGCTGCCCCCCTCCCCGCTCTGGGCAGGGAGGCCCCGCAGGCTCTGGCTCATTTGCATGGTATTTGTAGGGTGATCACTAATGGCACTGATCATTTTTATTAGCTGAGCTGTCTGCATTAAAATGATAGATTTTTTTTTTATTAAAAACATCCGAGGGAGCTGCCACGGCCGAGGGAGGAGGAGGATTTTCCGTTTAGTTTAAGAGCAGATGGTTTCCAGAATGCTCAGCGGACACCAAATGAGGCGGCTGAGCAGAGCAGAAGTCTCCCGGCTCGCTGCAGACCCCCTGCCCTCTCGGGCTCTCCCGGACGCCTTCAGGGCTGACCCCAGCTCCACCCCGACCAGCCAAGGGAATTTCCTTCCAAACCCCTTGGAGATCCAGAGCCCAGGTGCTGGAGGGTGCCCTGGGGACCTGCCAGGGGCCACCCCAGAACTCAGGGTGCTGCTGGTGTTATGGGGACCAGAACTTAGCAGGTCAGGCAGCAGGAGGGACGAGTCAAAGGGTGCTCCTGCCCAGGAGCCATGGTCCAGCGGGGAGGGCAGCGACCTGTGCCCTGGACCTCAGCCTGTCACACGGCCAGGGCCCTGAACCAGCCATGGCTCCCCAAAGCGATAAGGGCAGGAGGGAGGGATTTAATTAAACAGGAAGTTTTAGCAACCACAGTGCCTGGGAGAGTGAGCTGAGCAGAGTCTTCACTGCAGGGCTTCTCAGAACCCGTTAACTTGGGTTTCTCCTGTCACCGTCACCGAGGAGGGCGATCTTCAACTCCAAACGCGTGTCCTTGGAGCGACTGGTTGGAGTCACGGGCACAGTGAAGAAGCCGGGCTCCCAGGGCGGCTCAGCTCCCGCACCCTCTTTCCGGGGATGATGGTCATCTCTGAAGGTATCCACCTGCTCCTTCAGGCAGGGCTCCCTGGCTGCTGGCCCCGTGCACACTCCCCTGTCACCTGTGGCTGGGAGAGGCTCCAGCAAGGAGGCCAAGGTCACGTCTGAGCTCAGCAGAAAAGTGGCACAACCATCGGGGGTTCTTTGGCTTCTCTCCGGACCCAGAAGTGCAGCCTGGAAGCTGGGCACCACGGAAACTCTCATCCAAGAGCCTGTGGATACCCTGGAATCCGGGACCCCTGAGGACCCCGAGGGCCCCTCCTCCCTCCTGCGGGTCGATCTCCCCGTCCTGGCCCCGAGCTCAGGGTCCCCCAGGCAGAGCGGGAGGCCGGCGAGCTCCCGGAGGGAGGGTCCTTGCACGGCCACCCCTGACGACCCCCCAGGCTGCCCCAGCCCCACGGCGGAGCTGCAGGAGGGACCTGCCAGGCAAGGCCAGCCCGCAGGTGACCTCACCGAGTGCAGAAAGCGTGTTCCCGAGGACACTGCAGTCAAATTGAATTTTTACAAACGGAATCCTGTTTCAGCGGCGGTTCACAACACCATCTCCCAGACGCTGTGTCTTCACGTTGGAGGAACGTTCCTGATGGGTCTGCGTCAGAATCCCCTTCCTTCTAGAAGCCCTAGAATGTTCCAGTCTGGGGGGGCCACAGAGACCCCACACGCCCCCTTTCCCTTGCCGATGGGGAAGCTGAGGCAGGGACGGGAGGACTGGTGCCTGTCGAGCGCCCGCCAGGGCACAGGTTCCATTTGACGTGCCTCACGCTGCTTCATGTGGCTCTGACCGCGTCTCAGGATGGGCCTGCGGTCAGCCCCACTTTGACAGAGAAGACACCAAGTTTCAAGACACAAAAAAACCCAACACAGGGACATCCACCGAGTTGACAGGTGGCTGCTTCAAATCCTGCAGGGACCTCCCATTGCCCACCCATCATGACGACTAGGGCCTGTGTGACCTGGCCCGTCCCCACCTCTGTGATCTCATCTGCCACCCACCTCCTCCCGCGGTCCCCCCTGTCTCCCTGGCCTTCTTTTCTGTCCTCAAAGCAGACATCCCAGGAGCTTCCCACTTGCTCTCCCCTCTACCTGGAATGTGTTCCTCTCTCGTTTCCCCCTGGCTGGATTCTCCTTCATTCGGGTCTTACAACTCACCATTCGCACTTTCCAGGACTCCCACCCTTCCAACTACCCACATTTATTTCTTCGCTTTATTTTCTCAGAACACTTATCACTCTATGGAATTATTTACTTAGTGTATGTATGAGTCTGCTTTCTGTTGCTGGAACGAAATGCCTGAGATCAGGTAATTTATAAAGAATAGAGGTTTAGGGACTGGGGCTGGGGCTCAGTGGTAGAGTGCTCACTGGGTTTGATCCTCAGCATCACATAAAAATAAAATAAAGGTATTGTGTCCATCTACAACTACAATTTTTGTTTTCAAAAAAGAATAGAGGTTTATTTAATTCATGGATCTGGATGCTGGAAGTCCAAGAGCCTGGCATGAGCATCTGGTTAGGGCTTTACTGCTGCATCGCAACAGCTGAAGGAATCACAGGAAGACAGAGCAAGCACGCTACAGAGAGCTCGTTCTTATAACAGAGCCACGGCCATGAGCACTCATTAATCCACTGATGCATGCGTGGATTAATTCAATCATGAGGGCAGAGCCTTCACGACCCAGTCAACTCTGAAGGGTCCCACCTCTCACCACTGCGGCATGGGATACCCAGTTTCCAACACACCAAACTTGGGGAACACATTCAAACCCAAGCAGCTTGCTCACTTTTATTGTCTCCCCACTAGAATATCAACACCGTGGAGGCAGGGACATGTGCACTGTTTCTGTGTCTCCAGTCCCTACAGGAGCCGGAATACAGACTCTCGGGAACACTCACGGAATACAGGAACGCGGTAGCCAAACTGGGATTTCAATGCAGGTCTGTGCGACCCTGGAGCCCAGAGGTCTTGCCACTGCACCCAGAATGTCTTTCTTCTGACATCTTCTTAATTATCAGGAAATGATCGCTCAACGGAAGCGTCTTTTGAAGTTGCCTTTGAAGTTTGGTGTTTGGCGTTTTATTTCTTAGAGCCTAACCCATCTAAAACAGAAGAGAGACTCTTATTCAGCCCCCCAAATCCAGGTCCAGATACAATCCCCTCGAAAACCAAGGAGAGGACCCTTTCAAAGACCTCAGAAGCAGCGAACGTCTCACCCCCAGTTCACACATCAGGAATTGGTGTCCTCATGCAGACCCGGGTTCTCGGCACCTGAGGACGAAGTTCCTTCTAGTCCATAATCAAGTCACCAGCCCCTTGTTACGGTGCCCAGAGGGCGCGTGCCGACTTCATGACATTTCTTACCGTGTAGCTCTTTTGAACAAAGACTCTCTCAGCTTTTTTAAGTCTGAAAAAATTTTCATTTTGCCTTTAATGTTTTTGCCTTGATTTTTGAAGGGTGTTTTCGGTGGATGCAGACTTCTTGGGCCATGGTTTCCATGGTCTTCTGACCTGCATAGTTCCAGACAAGAAGTCTGTGGCCCTTGTATCTTGCTCAGTTGTTACTGTCTGGTTTGGGTTTTGTTTTGTTTGTTTGTTTGTTTTTGTTTTGTTGATGTTTTCCCTTTAGCCCAGGTTTTTAGAAACTGAACTGGGATATGGCTGTGGGGGCTTGGTGCTACTTTCCTGGGTGAGTATGTAGTTTTCATCCCATTGAGGAAGTTTCTTGCTCCTCCGGTCACCTTGAATTCAGATCATCTTCCTCCTTGTCCAAAACTACTCCAAACTGCATGTAGACTACATGTAATCGACAGGGAAACTGGGGCTCAGAGACATACAGTAACCCCTCTGTGGTCACACAGCAGGTGAACAGTGGAGCTTGGACTCAATGCCTGACTCCCACGGTGTGTGTTTCTTGGCTCTGGGACGGAGGAGGGAGGAGGGCTCTGTACTCAGCTATCCCACCTACGGAGGCCTCCCACCTGGCCGAGGGTGGTTGTGAGGTGGGCAAAATAGACGCAGGCCAAGGTGTAGGGGTTGAGGGTCTTTTAGTACCGCCCCCTACTCTAAAAAGAATGTTTACTTTAGATGTTTGGAAAAGTACAGAAGAATACAGAGAAGAAGTGAAAATCCACCCCAGATCCCCTAGGTGGAGGGTTTCAGGCGTGCAGGGCGGGTTCTGTGTCCCCTGACACCTTGCCACCACCCTGCCGCCGTGGTCTCTGGGTGGCCACTCCCTCACGGCAGACCTTCACTGGCCTCTCCTAGCACACGAGGCTCCACGGTCCGGAGAACAGCCTGGTGGGCTGGGGAAATGGGGGTACTGCAGCCCGTGGGGAGAAGCTCAGGAAGGGGGCCCTTCCTGGGGAAGGGCAGGTTTGGTCCTCATCCTGGAGTCCCCAGGGAAGGCGGGGTGTCCTGTGGGGTTTCAGGGCCCCCGGGCCTCCCCCAGCACCTCACAGTCAGGGCTGGAGGCAGGAATGGAAGGGGCCAGACAGCTCAAAGGGGCCCTTGAGCGGCCCTCTGGGATGGGTGGGCAGGAGCAGTCCTGGGAGACAGGGGCAGCCAGAGTGCCCAGGCCTGGGAGGGAGGGAGGGACAGAGGCCAGGGTGTCCAGCCCCGGGAGGAAGGGCCCAGCTCCACCAGAGCCAGCAGGCGGGGCTCTGCCTCCTGAGGGCCACTGCAGTGTGGGCAGCAGGGACAGGGCAGCCTCGCCCGGAACTCAGGAGAGAAGCCCCCTAGTCCACCCAGCCACTGTCCCTCACTAGCACCCCCAGACCTGTGTCCAGTAGGCCAACAGGAGGGACAGGCCCCTCCCTAGCAGGACCAAAGGACACTGGCCTCAGTGATGGGAACCAAGGCGTTCTCTCTCTCTCGAAGTCCCTTTGAGGTAAATAATAAATCACATGGAGAAGCAGACGGCGTTACGAGGTCCCGGATCAGAACAACCCACTTCTAATCCATCGTCACACTGTGCCCTGGCTTCATCTTCTGGGCTTCTGTTTTCTCTTCCCATGGTCCTCTGTCACCGCTGGACGATCCCCTGTGGAGCAGACCCACTTCACTGCGCCTCATCCCAGGGCAGAGTTCCCAGGGGACCCCAGGGCACAGTTCCCAGGGGACCCCAGGGCACAGTTCCCAGGGGACCCCAGGGCACAGTTCCCAGGGGGCTCCACTCCTCTCGGGGGCAGGGGACCCAGCTGCAGGGCGGGAGGGCTGTGGCTTTGTTTTCTGAAGCTTGCTGCACTAAACTGTCACGGGGTGACGACTCTGCCCCAGCCCCCACCCCAGCTCCCTACCCACATTTCTTCCTCTCCGCGGGAGGGGAACGCGGGTGTGGGCCTTCTTCTTCCATTCATTCTTATTTATTTATTTATTTTTTTGTACCAAGGATTGAACCCAGGGGTGTTTGACCACGGAGCCACATCCCCAGCCCTTATTATATTTAATTTAGAAACTGGGTCTCGTTCAGTTACTTAGGACCTCGCTAAATTGCTGAGGCTGGCTTTGAACCTGCGATCCTCCTGCCTCAGCCTCCCGAGCTGTGGGATTACAGGTGCGCACCCCCGCGCCCGGCTCATTCATTCACTCCTTGCACAACGTGCTGGGGCAAAGCCCCCTGGAGGAATAAGACAGCAAGGAAACGGGTCGTTCTCGCCTGAGTGCCATTCTGAGGTCACAGGACAGTGCCCCCAATCTGACATGAGCATCCGGGGGGACACACCCCCGGGGCTGAGGAAGGGAGAGTGAGTGGGAGGCAGCTGGGTGAGCAGAGGCGGAGCAGGGGGATAACAGCCAGGGTGGGGGTGGGGGGGGCAGGCAACCTCCAGAAGGGACAAGGACCCGGTGGGGGCCCGGGAGGAGGGGTGCAGGAAGGTTCTGGAAGGTGGGGGAACAGGATCAAGCACCCTCAAGCCACGATCAGGGATTTGGCCATTGTCCTGAGGGTACTAGGGAGCCATGGAGAGTCTTCAAATAACAGAGGGAACTGCATCAATGTGGTTCATTCTGTCCCCTCCAGGTCCCGCCCCTGCAGGGTCTTGGACAGGGGAGACTAGGTACCTGCTGAGTCAAGCCGGTGGGAGACACAGGAAAATCCCTGTGGGACCTGGGGTGAAGAAGGTCACAGCTGCACTCCTGATGGGAGACCTCGAAGGGTCAGGCCCGCAGCTGGAGGACCACAGGACAGGAAGCATCCCCCACCCCAGCCCCACCCCCGCTCTGCAGCACACGTCCTGGGTCTCAGGAAGGCTGGGCCGACCCCAGGTACCCCTCCCTCCCAGCAGCACCCTCCCGGGTCCCCAGCTGCACAGCTCACCTCGGGCACAGCTACCTTGGAAACTTCTCATCCCCAAGTCAGGCCCGGCCCGCTCCTCCCTGTGCAGGGTTGCCATGGTAACCTGAGATTCTCGCTGAGGCTGCAGAATGGCATTAATCCTGCCTGAGCCGGGGTGGGAGGGAAGCAGAAGGCTTTCTGGTTCTCTTCGGTGGATGGAGAGTCCCTGAGTCAAGGCCAGGGCCCAGGGCTGAGAACAGAGAGAGGCTGCAGGGAAGCTGGCCCCACTGAGTGCACAGCCTGCCCCTGTGCTAGGGCACTTGTCCAGTCCCTCACCATGGCCATTGGCTAAGATGGGCATCCAGAGCCTTGGAGCATGGATAAAAATGCCTTCGAGATACTGAGCAACGCCCAAGCTCAGTGCTCGGCGCAGCCTCCCTGAGCACGCCCTGCAGGCACACATGGCCTTAGCCCCAGGACGCAGGTCAGCTGGGCCCGGGGGGGCAGGCCTGTGATTCCAGGGCTCGGAGGCTGAGGCAGGAGTTCAAAGCCAGCCTCGGCAGCAACTCAGTGAGGCCCTAAGCAACTCAGTGAGGCCCTGTCTCTAACTAAACATAAAAGGAGCTGGGGATGGGGCTCCGTGGTTAAGCACCCCTGGGTTCAATCCCTGGTACCAAAAAAGAAGAAGGCGGCAGGTCACTGGCCCTGGACACTCAGCAAGGAGGGCATGCAGTGAAGGCCCCCTCGGTGCAAGCACCCACTGAGGGCTGATGACCCACCTGCTGGACACTTCCCCCGCTGGGGACCTAAGTACCTAAGAGAACAGCCCTGTGCCGCGCAGGATGGGTGACAGATGGGAAGTCCCTCCTGGCGCAGAGCGGAAGCCATCATCCCTGACCACACCTCCCGTAGACCCAGCTGTGCCACCTGGGACTTCACAAAGCCTGGCAGTCACGTCCCCGGGGCCACAGCCCCGAAGGCAACGGCGGCGTCCCCTGCCACGCTGGAACAGCACTGAAGGACTCAGAGCTCTTCCCCCAGGAGCTGTCAGACGCTGATTGATTGATTGATTGGTGTTTGGGGCTCATTCTGCAGCCAAGCACTGGCCCAGTCTGTGATCAGCGTCGGGACTTGGTCAAAGGAAGGGGCAGGGGCTGTGGACGCAGCCCAGGTCAATGGTGACCTTGTGGCCATCTGTGCCCGGGGCACAGATCTGAGAACAGACCTTCTGCAGTCAGGCTTCCAGCCCTTCCAGGGGTCACGCTGCAACCTTGGCCTCATTAGCACACGACGCTCACCAGCCAGCTGGGCCCATCTGGCTTCTTATCAGCCCCACAGCGACTGGGGGCGGCGGCCCTCGGGTGGGCCACCCTGGCCAAGCCTGCCAGCGCCTCCTCTCCTCCGCAGCCATGAGAGCCTCCCCGCCCTCTGCC